CTTGTGTCCTCTCCTAGGGCTCCATGCTATGGCTCCAAGATATCTGAGACAGTAGTGATTTCTCTTCCTCTTTTTTTTTTTTCTTCATTTCAGCATATTTTATGGGAGCTGAGCCGGCCCCCCGGGTCCCCGCGCCAGCACCTGCGCCCCTTTGGCCGCCTCTCCGCCCCGGGGACCGCAGGAGACGCCACCAATTCCCTCTCGGCTATCAATGTGATGGACTCTCATCTGGCCGTGACCCATACAGACTCCGATCTATATTTATTGACATTGAAAGATGCCTGTCCTATTTTATTAAATGAAAAAGATAAAAGGGTCACAAAATAACCCGTGGCGAGGTTCCCTTGTGGTAAAACCAGGCGCGGGACCTGAGCGAGGCAGAGGCACAAATACGAAATTCCCCCCCCCCAATGTCAACAGGCGTTGTGGGATTATTGTCATGTTTATTCCTTTTCCATACCCTTGGATATAGGCCAAATTTTTGTTCGGAGCACAAATTTCCTTTTTAAAAACATATCTTTTATTACTCTTTTGTTGGCTGATGACCAAAGTTATCTGTGCTTGTTAGAAAAACTAAGTCATTAAATAAACACTTCATCCAGAAGGTCTGCAGTCTCGAAGATACTGACAGTGCAGCTTCCAGAATTTTCCATGCACGTATTTTCCCTTTTTTTTTTTTTTTTTTTTTGAGATAATCTCACTCTGTCACCCAGGCTGGAGTGCAGTGGTATCATCATAGCTCACTGCAACCTCCAACTCCTGGGCTCAAGAGACCCTCCTGCCTCAGCCTCCCGAGTAGCCAGGACTACAGGTGTGCACCACCATCCCTGCCTGTCGAATTTTTCCATTTTTAGTAGAGATGGGGTCTCCCTATTCTTCCCAGGCTGGTTTTGAACTCTTGGCCTGAGGCAATCCTTCTGTCTTGGCAAGAGTTCGACACCAGCCTGGGCAACATAGCAAGACCCCATCTCTACAAAAAATTAGCCAGGCGTAGTGGCACATGTCTGTGGTCCTAGCTACTCAAGAGGCTGAGGCAGGAGGATCGCTTGAGCCCAGGAGTTGGAGGCTGCAGTGAGCTATGATAAAACCACTGCACTCCAGCCTGGGCCAGAGAGTGAGACTCTGTCTCAAAAAAAATTAATTAATTAAAAGAATGAATAACAATAAGGCCTAGTGTCTGTAGGGTGACGATAGTTTACAATAATATACTGTATATTTCGAAATGACTTAAAGAGAATAATTCAAATGTTTCTAGTATAAAAAGATAAATATTTAAGGTGATGGATAACCCAATTACACTGATTTGATCTTTACAATATACATGTTTTAAATTATCACATGGACCCCCAAAAATATGTACATCTATTCTGTATCAACAAAAACATTTTGTTAACAAATAAAGGACAAAGGACTGGAATAAAAAAGTAAATAAAAATAGTTCTGAGAGGTCTGAAGATCTTCCCCATGATGGGGTGACCCTCCCTTCACCGGTTCTTTGGAGGCGAGATGTTCGTTCTATTTTTTTTTGAGACAGAGTCTCACCCTGTTGCCTGGGCTAGGTGCCGTGGTGCCACACTAGCTCACAGCAACCTCCAACTCCTGGCTCAACAATCCTCCTGCCTCAGCCTCCTGAGTAGCTGGACTACAGGCATCACGCACTGTGCCCAACTATTTTTTCTATTTAGTTGTTTGGCTAATTGCTTTCTATTTATAGTAGAGACGGTCCGCCTGCTCAGGCCTGGTTTCGAACTCCTGACCTCCGACGATCATCCCGCCTTGGGCCTCCCAAAGTGCTAGGTTATAGCGTGACCACCGCGCCCGGCCTCATTCATTTATTTATTTATTCAAACACATACTACCTTTGAGTGCTTACTGGGTGCCAGGCACTGATGCAGGTGTAGGGAATATGGCCCCTGGGGAGCTGATTTTCTGATGGGGGACTCACAGGCATAGACAAAGTAAATAATATCTAAGTAGTTTGTCAGATGGTGGTAAGTGCTGAGTAGAGAATGAAGCAGGGAAGGTGGGTGGTGGAGGGGGTGCAATTTTAAAATAGGGGAGTGTGGTCAGGGAAGGCCTCACTGAGGAGGTGACATTTGAGCAAAGCCCTAAAAGAGACGAGGAGGGAGCCGTGTGGATATCTAGGGGAGAGTGTTGCAGACAGTGGGAAGAGCATGTGCAAAGGCCCTGAGGTAGGCCTTCACCGCCTCCCCTACTTCTTGGGTTGTGTCTTTCAGTGAGTGGCAGCACGCGGAACGTCACCCTGCCTGACCTTCACTGGGGTCCCTGTGAGCTGTGGGTGATGGCATCCACCATGGCGGGGCAAGGCCCACCTGGTCCCAGCCTCTGGCTTCACCTGCCAGGTAGGGGATCTGCTCCTCTGGGCAGGGGTGGCGTGTGGCACTGTTACTACAGCCGTAGTGGGTGGACAACCTTTTGACTTGGGGGGAGAATTATTATTATTTTGGAGACAGGGTCTTGCTCTGTTGGGGGCCATACTGGTGAGGGCGATGATTTTGTGGTTTTGATGGGAGGGGAAACTTGGCTTCCAGGAAACCCAAAATACACCCTCCCTGGGGACAATTAATTGGCTGTGGCTCAGGGACAGTTTGATTCTGCTAAATGCTGCTGTGTGTTGTTAGGCAGTGTGTGTGAGTGGGGTTGTATTCGCAAGCCCCACCCCCACTCCAAGATGCCCCGCCCCGCCCACGTGTAAGCCACACCCACGTGTAAGCCCCGCCCCACGTGTACGCCCCGCCCACGTGTCAGCATTCCCTCGCCCCAGCCCCTGCCATCCGCCATCCGCCAGCCCCACCTGGCCCTTCTCCCTGGGAGCCACAAGTTCCCTCCTCCCTGCCCCACCAGATAACACGCTGAGATGGAAAGTTCTGCTGGGATTCCTGTGCCTTTGGGGCTTGCTTCTGCTGGGCTGTGGCCTCGGCCTAGCCACCCCGGGAAGGTGAGGTGTCACCTCTGCGGGTCTCTGCCCAGGTGGGGGGGGCAGCCGGGCTCCAGCTGAGCTCTACCCTTCCCCCCCTTGGAGGGAGGCCTGGGGCTCTGGAATGTATATAGATCCTGCAACCCCAGCACGGCACACGGCAGGGGTGTCTGGCCACCTGGCTGCCCTGCCTTGACTCTTACCTGCTCGCCAGGTGCCGCCACCTGTGGCACAAGGTGCTGCCGAGGTGGATCTGGGAGAAGGTTCCTGACCCTGCCCACAGCAATTCTGGCCAGAGGCACATGGAGGTGAGCCCGAAGGCAGCTTGCGGGAGCCCTCCCGGGGGTTGGGGGGGCCGGGGAGTGGGTTATGGGGGGCCGGGGGCCGCATTTAAACCTCATCTCTTCCCAGGAGGTGCCCCAAGCCCAACCCACTGGGGACTTGCCCATCCTGGAAGTGGAGGAGATGGAGCTGCCGCCGGTTTCAGAGCCCCCCCAGGCCCCCGCCCTGCTCGACTCCGGGTATGAGAAGCACTTCCTGCCCACGCCAGAGGAACTGGGCCTGCTGGGGCCCCCCAGGCCCCAAGTTCTAGCCTGAACCTTACCTCAGAGGCTGGGAGCTGCGAGCCAGGCGAGAAGGGTGCTCCCGTAGGCTGCACCCCTAGTCTTCTTGACAGATGAAGACACCGAGGCTCAGAGAGGCTGAGCCACTTTCCTGAGGACACCCAGCCTGGAAGATCTGGGATTCAAGGCTCCCTACAGAGAAGGGCCTGGCCCGGGTAGGGAACACACGGATGGATGAAGGAACACAGGAAATGGAGCAAGGAATTGAGAGTGGCAGCGGCCTCCCAAAATCTGTCCTTCTGCCTTAGCAGAACTGCATTTGTTTTTTGTTTTTGTTTTTTGTGTTTTTTTGAGACAGAGTCTCGCTTTGTTGCCCAGGCTAGAGTGAGTGCCGTGGTGTCCTACCTCACAGCAACCTCAAACTCCTGGGCTCCAGCGATCCTCCTGCCTCAGCCTCCCGAGTAGCTGGGACTACAGGCACGCGCCACCGGCTAATTTTTTCTATATCTATATTAGTTGGCCAATTAATTTCTATTTATAGTAGAGACGGGGTCTCACTTTTGCTCAGGCTGGTTTCGAACTTCTGACCTCGAGCAATCCGCCTGCCTCGGCCTCCCAGAGTGCTAGGATGACAGGCGTGAGCAGAACTGCATTTGGGGTTGGGTGCAGCTAAGCAGGCCTGCAGTCCCAGCCACTCGGGAGGCTGACGAGGGAGGATCACTTGATGTCAGGATTTCAAGGCCAACTTGGGTTTCATATTGATGAAACCCTGTCTCTTAAAAAAAAAAAATGAGGCCAGGCTCGGTGGCGCATGCCTGCACTCTGGGAGGCTGAGGCGGGAGGATGGAGTGAGGTCAGGAGTTCGAGACCAGCCTGAGCCAAAGGCAGACCCCCATCTCTACTGAAAATAGAAAAATTAGCCAGGCATGGTGGCGCATGCCTGTAGTAGTCCCAGCTACTCGGGAGGCTGAGGCAGGAGGATCGCTTGAGCCCAGGAGTTGGAGGTTGCACTGATGCCACCGCACTATAGCCTCAAACAACAACGAAAAACTGCATCTGGGCACCATTCCAGCTGCCCTGTGGCTAGATGCAGCCATGGGCCGAGTTCTTGACAACAGAACTTGGGCAGAGGTGACATGTGCCGCCTCCGGGACCTTTAAAACACTGGGTTGGGGCCCCTACACCCTCTCGTCCCCTTCCTATGAGCTGAACATGCATGTGCATGTGTGTGATCTGGCTCTAGCCCCACCCCAGGGGAGCGCGGGGACAAGACCCCGGCAGGAACCTGAAGCCCTGAATGACCACGTGGATCAGAGCCACAGAGGCAAATAAACTTTCATGTTTTTGTAGCCGCTGCAGTTGAGGTCTTTGGGCACAGCGGCTGGATGTATGCTCTGGCCGACCCCCCAGTCTCCGACTGTCGCAGAGTCCAGCCCTGGATTTCCCGCCAGGGGACGCGGGAGGGATTCCGCGCCCACACACGCACGCCAGCAGCCCGAGTGCTTCCACGGTTTATTTTCAAGTATAAAGGCTTCGCTGCAGAGGGGCCGGGGTCGCAGGCAGTGCGGGCAAGGGGGCCGGACGCCCCGGCGGAGGTGGGCGTGTGGGCCGGCCGGCTTCCAGGCTTCCAGGTGCCAGGGCCGGTGCGCGCCCGGGGCCCTCTGCCGGGTGCCCAGAGGCCGAGGTAGCTGTGACAGGGGCCGGGCGGGGGCGCGGGCTCACATGACCGCGCAACACTGGCACGTCTTCGGTTTCGGGCCGCTCGCCTCCTCGCCCTCGGCGGGGCGGGCAGGCTCGGGGCTGCCGGGGGCGCGGTGCGTTAAGTGGGCACGGCGCGCGCGCCGGGGGTGGCGCCGGGCCCCGGGCGCCCAAGCAGTGGCTGGCATCGCGCGCGCGGCTCGGGCCGGCTCGGCCAGCCGCGGGTGGCGCGCCGCGGGGCCCGGGCCTCCGCGGGGCTGCCTCCCAGCGCGACTTCTTCGGCCTCTCCTGGGACTGGCGGTCTCTTCGGCTCGCGCCTCGTCGCCCAGGGCACTCACTCGCTCACCTCCTCTGCCACAGACTCTCCTATCCAGCCCTTATATCATCACTCACCGCCTCCAACACACAATCATCTTATATATCCCACAGCCTCTATCCAAACAACACTTCGCTCCTTCCTCTGTCGCACTCGTGTTTTCTCGCCTCCACTGCGTCCCTCCATCGCCTCATTCCACTCAGCCTCCACTGTCCCCTCGCCTCCTTCCCCTCAGCCTCCACTGTCTCCTGGCCTCCGGATTTCCCCTCAGCCTCCACTGTCCCCTCGCCTCCTTCCCCCTCAGCCTCCACTGTCCCCTCCCTCTCTCCCTCAGCTCCCACTGTCCACCTGCGCCTCCCACTTTCCTATCAGTCCACCTGTCACGCTCGCTCCTTTCCCCTCAGCCTCTGTCCCCTGCTCCTTCCACTTCAAGCCTCCCTGTCCCGTCACCACTCCTTTCCCCTCAGCTCCTGTTCCCTCGGCATCCTATTCCTTCATCCCGGCCTCCCCTGTCACCATCAGCCATCCTTTCTCCGCCTCCTGTCCTCGCCTACCTTCGTCCCTCAGCCTCCACTGTCCCCTCGCCTCCTTTCCCCTCCGCCTCCGCTCTCTCCTCGCCTCCCTTTTCCCTTGTCACCAACGGCTCTTCAGTCACCTCGGGCTTTTCCTCACCTCCCTTCTTCTCTCCTCCCAGCGGTTCCTCCACTGCCTCCTCCTCCCCGGGCCTTCCCTCACCCCGGCCCTTCGCGGCCCTCCGAGGCCCCTCGCCTCCGCTCCTCTCCGCGCCCTGCGTCTCCTCGCTGCCGCCTCTGCTCTCTGGGGACCCCTCACCCCCTCTGGCCTCCGCTCCGCCACCCGCCGGCCCCTCCGGCCCCTCCGCCAGCAGCTCCTCCCACTCCTCGCTCAGGGCCGCCCTCTCCACCCAGAAGAAGGAGCCCTCCTCGCCCCCAGGGCCCCCCGGCCCGCCGCCCTCCAGGCCGCTCCTGGGACCTCCGTCCGCTTCCCCGGGCGACAGCGGCGCTGCCACCTCCGGGGTCTCGGGCAGCCTCGGGGGGCCGGTCTGCGCCGCCTCCGGGCCCTCCCCCGCCTCCCGCACGGCCTCCGAGTCGCTGCCCCCCACGCCCTCCCAGACCACCTCCACGACGCCCCTGTCCTCCCGCACCCAGGCCGGGAGCTCCGGGCGGCCGGCCCCCCGCCTGTCCCCGACGGCTTCCAGCACCACCTCCTCCACCCTCGCCTCCAGCTCAGGCCCGGTGGCCCCCGCCGCACCAAAGTCCCCCGAGGCTCTCAGCCCCTCCCACACCACCCGGACCACGCCCCCTCCGTCGGCCTCGGCGCCCCGCCCCTCGCCGGCCACCTGCTCCGGAGCCCCGCCGGGGCCAGCGCAGGGGCCGTTGGCTTCCGCCCCGGGGACCTGCCTCGGGGCCGGGACCAGGGCGGGCAGAACCGCTGCAGCCTCCTCTCTGGGCTCCGGGGGGGACTCTGGGGCCACGCCCGCTGGCCCCACCGGCAGGGAGGCCCTCTTGTCCACATCAGCGTGGCCTGGGGGGGTCAGGGGCGGAGAGGAGAGGAAAGAAGGGAAGGGAGGGTGAGGAAGGACCGAGAGGGCCCCTACCCTCGCTCCTCTTGGGTCACCCTCTTTGGGGGTGACCCTGCCCCCAGACCTAGGAGTTCCAACACTCACCTTCAGGACCTGCATCGACAGTGGGCTGGGAGAGGGGACGGTGACCCTGCAGGACGGTAGAGACAAGATCAGGCCGGCCTCCTACCCACCTTCAGCCACGTGCCGGGCCCCCCCCGTGCCGGGGCCCCCCCTGCTCAAACACCCACGTGTCCCTCCACATGGCACCGTGGCCTTCCTCTCCTCTCCTAACTCCCTCTACCCCAGGGCTTGCACGCAGCAGGTGCTCAATCGGTGCTGCGCTCATGCAGCCAATCTCTGCGTAGCAGGGGCCGCTCTGCCAGCCACTGAGGTTACCATGGCCAAGGGACACTTGAGCCTTTTGCTGTTGGAACTTACATTCCAATAAACATAAACACAAATAAATACATTAGCAATGTCTACAAGTGAGAAGGGCTGTGCAGAGGGGGAAAAAAGCAGGGCAAAGAGCTAGGGAGTGCGTGGGGGGTGACAAGGTGCCTCCTCTAAGCTATAAGATGTGTGAGGGCCTCTTGGAGGAGGTGACATTGAACAGAGGCCTGAAGAGGTGAGAGGGGGCCGGCCATGAGTCAAGAGGTGGGGAAGGGCATTTCAGGCAGAGGGAACAGCAAGTGCAAAGGCCCTGGGGCTGCACTGAGCTAAGCAAGTTCAAGGAATAGAAGAGGGTCCCTGAACTCCCAACTTCACTGAGGTGCTTCCTCTGGGGTCACCCCACACTCTGGGTTTCTCTCTCAAAGACTGTTTCTGTGTGTGTGTGTGTGTGTTGGAAGTTTTTTAGTTTTTTTATTTTTGAGAGAGGGTCTTGCTCTGTTGTCCAGGCTAGAGTGCAGTGGTGCGATCACAGTTCACTGGAATCTCAGACTCCTGGGTTCAAATGATCCTCCTGCCTCAACCTCCTGAGTGGCTGGGACTACAGCTACATACCACCACATTCAGCTGATTTTTCTATATTTTTGGAAAGACAGGATCTCACTATGTTGCTCAGGCTGATCAGAACTTCTGGACTCAAGGGATCCTCCTGCCTCAGCCTCCCAAAGTACTGGGATTACAAGGCATGAGCCACCATGCTGGCCTCAAAGACTCTTTGTATCCCATCTCTTCCCCTGGACTTTGAGCCCTCTGGGGCCAGGAACTACGCCTTGCAAATGTCTAGCAAAGAACTCCAGCTTATACTAAAACCAGACAAGTGGCCGGGCGCGGTGGCTCACACCTGTAATCCTAGCACTCTAGGAGGCCGAGGCGGGAGGATCGCTTGAGGTCAGGAGTTCAAAACCAGCCTGAGCAAGAGCGGGACCTCATCTCTATTATAAATAGAAATAAATTAATTGGCCAACCTATATATATAGAAAAAAAAATTAGCCGGCATGGGTGGCCATGCCTGTAGTCCAGCGCTCAGGAGGCTGAGGCAGGAGGATCGCTTGAGCCCAGGAGTTGGAGGTTGCTGTGAGCTAGGCTGACGCCACGGCACTCACTCTAGCCTGGGCAACAGAGTGAGATTCTGTCTCAAAATAAATAAATAAGTACAAACAAAACCAAACAAGTGCTTCCCACGCCAATTTTTTTTTTTTTTTTTTTTTTTTGAGACAGAGTCTCGCTTTGTTGCCCAGGCTAGAGTGAGTGCCGTGGCGTCAGCACTCGCTCACAGCAACTTCAAACTCTGGGCCTCAAGCGATCCTCCTGCCTCAGCCTCCGAGTGCTGGGGACTAACAGGCATGCGCCACCATGCCCGGCTAATTTTTTCTATATATACTATATCAGTTGGCCAATTAATTTCCTTTCTATTATAGTAGAGACGGGGTCTCGCTCTTGCTCAGGCTGGTTTCGAACTCCTGACCTCGAGCGAACCTCCCGCCTCGGCCTCCCAGAGAGCTAGGATTACAGGCGTGAGCCACCGCGCCCGGCCCCACGCCAATTTTAAAGGGTCTGTGTCCCCTCTCTGTCATCCAACAGGCTCTTGGGGGCCGAGGTGAGACATCAGGAAGAGGTGAGGACCGTGAAAAACCTACACCTGACTGCCACTAGGCACAGATGTCTCCGGACCTTTAGAGTTCAAGAAAACCCAAAGAGCCAGGTTGCGATGTGAAGTGTCCTGTTTTTCAAAAGCCCACGTGCTATATATATATATAAAGGTGTTACCAAAACAAGAAAAGAAAAACCCACGTGGGCTGGCACCATGGCTCACACCTACAGTCCCAGCGCTCTGGGAGACTGAGGTGGGAGGATCGCTTGAGGCCAGGAGTTCAAGACCAGCCTGGGCAACATAGTGAGACCCCGTCTCTACAGAAAGAATAGAAAAATTAGGCCAGGCGCGGTGGCTCACGCCTGTAACCCTAGCACTCTGGGAGGCCGAGGCGGGAGGATTGCTTGAGCCCAGGAGTTTAAAGTTGCTGTGAGCTAGGCTGACGCCACGGCACTCTAGTCCTGGGCAACAGAGTGAGACACTGTCTCAAAAAAAAAATAGAAAAATTAGCTGGGCCTGGTGGCGTCGCCTGTAGTCCCAGCTACTTTGGAGGCTAAAGTAGGAGAATTGCTTGCGCCCGGGAGTTTGAGGCTGCAGTGAGCTATGATGACACCACTGCACTCCAGCCTCGGCTACAGAGCAAGACTTTATCTCAAAACAAAACAAAACGGGCCAGGCACAGTGGCTCACGCCTGTAATCCTAGCTCTCTGGGAGGCCGAGGGGGGCGGATCCTTTGAGTTCAGGAGTTCGAAACCAGCCTGAGCAAGAGCAAGACCCCGTCTCTACTATAAATAGAAAGAAAGTAATTGGCCAACTAATATATACAAAAAAATGAGCCGGGCATGGTGGCGCACGCCTGTAGTCCCAGCTACTCGGGAGGTTGAGGCAGCAGGATTGCTTGAGCCCAGGAGTCTGAGGTTGCTGTGAGCGAGGCTGACGCCACGGCACTCACTCTAGCCTGGGCAACAGAGTGAGACTCTGTCTCAAAAAAAACCAAAAAAAACGGAACCAAAAAAACACCATGTGGATGCCTTAAATTGCCAGAACATCTCATGGTGACTCTTTCCCATGCCTGGGCCTCATCCCAGGGCCACCTGCCCACACTTTCTCTTTGCATTCCTTACTGGGACCATATTAGCAGCCACATATCAAAACTTTCCCTCGTGCCCGTTACTGGTGCTAACCTATGGCCTCACGCGCCCTCCCGACGGCCTTTCCAGGGAGGCGCTGTCATTATTCCCATTTTAGAGATGGGGAAACTGAGGCTTGGGAAGGGAAATCAACTTGCCCAAGACCACAGAGCAAAGTTAACAGCGGAAGGTAAATTCGAATGCAGACCTAGTGGCCGGGATGCACTTGCAGAGAGCCGCGCTTCTGACCAATGTCCCGCTTTGGGGCCCGCCGGCCACGCCGCCATCCCGTGCCCCTGGCCCCTCACCTGTCTGCGCCAGCTGGGCCTGCTCTGGGGCTTGTGCTGGGCACCTGTGGACGCGCTCTGCAGCAGCTGCAGTTGGGACTGGAGTCTGGGGGGGAGAGGAGGCTGCTAGGAGCCGGGGCCCCAGGCTCAGTGGGACCCCAGGCTCAGTGCGCCACCTCCCCGGAACACGCCCGGGGTCCTCCTAGCCGGCCTGGGCAGGACCAGTGGGGCTCTACTCACGTGAACAAGCTGTCTTCTAGATTCTGGATCCGGGCCCGAGCCTGGCCCTCTGGCGACTGGGGGTCCTTTGCGGCGGGGTCCTCGGGCCGCTCTGGCCCTTCCGCTGCCCCGTCCATTAGCCAGCGCTCCCGGAGAGCCTTCCTCTGGCATGGGAAGGGAGCTGGGGCTGGGCATGCGGAAGTCCCCGCGGCTGCCCGCGGGCCTGGCAGATTTCTTACTGCCCCGCAACCCCCGATGGGACACACATCAGTCTGCAATGCATGCCCACGGCGCCCCCCAACGTTGCCAGGTGGGACCGCCGCCCCGCTGCCAGCCCGAAGTCTCCCCGCCCCCCAACACACCCCGGCCGGGGCGGACGCCCCTTGCGCGCACACGGCCCTTCCAGAACGGACAGACACTCCCAAAGGTGAAATCAGTTGTCCCTCCCGTCTGGCCCCTCCCTGCTCCAAAGCTGCACTAAGGCCGCTCCCATCTGCCCCGCGCCGGGACCGACACCTCCGCGCCCCAGACTCTGCCCGAGGTGGAGCCAAAGTCCCCGCTGCACCCCGCTTCGTCCCCGCCCAAGCTGGGCGACACCCCCCACCCCAAAGCTGGGACCGACGCCCCCAGTCGCCCCGCTCACATCCGACAGAGGCCCCTATGCTCCCCGGGCGCCCCGCGCAGCCGCCCCCCTGCAGGCACCCCGGCCGGCCGGGCGCCCCGCCCCACCTTGAGCCGCTCCGCGCGCAGCTTCTCCTCCTCCAGCTCGCGGCGCGCCGCGCGGATCTGCTCCTGCAGCCGCCGCTTCTCCTGCGCGGGGACGGGCACCGAGCTGCCGCCGGCGGGCGCGGCCTCCCCGCCTCCGCCCTCGGGGCTCCCCGGCTTCCGGGGGCGGGGGCGGGGGTCGCGGGCGGCGGGTGAGTGGCCGCGGCCGCGGCTGACCAGGGCGGGGCGGGGCGGGCGCGGCGGGCGGGGCGCCGGCCGCGCCCGGGATGCTGCGGAGGCCTCGCCGCGCCCAATGGGGGTCTGCGGCTGGGGGGCAGGGGGCGGGGCCTTGGGATGGGGCTCTGGAGGCGGGTCACGCTGCGGGGTCCGAGATACGGGGTTCAGAGAGATGGGGGCTCAGATGCGGGGATCAGAGGGAGGATCCCCCTAGATCTAGACTCTAGACATCTGACGTGGGGATCTGGAGAGACTGGGGTGTCGAGATGGGGTCCGGAGAGACGAGGGCGGGCGAGATGGGGAGATCAGAGAGACAGGGGTGCAGAAGTGGGGTGCAAAGAGATGGGGTGCAGAAGCGGGGTGCTGGGATATGGCGTAGAGAAGTCGGGTGCAGAAAGTTGGGGCGCAAAGAGATGGGGTGCAGAGACGGAGGGCAGAAGGCTGCCGGACACGGAACGGACCAGAGCGGGGCCCAGAGAGACGAGGGGCAGCGAGCTGGAGGTCCCCTAGGAAGGACCCTGAGAAGGGCGCCCCAAGGCCCGGAGAGTTGAGAGGTGTGGGGTCTGACGACCGGCGGTCTGAGAGACGGGGCTCAGACACGGGGTGTCTGGGGGGCTGGGGCCCAGGAATGGGACCCGGATGATGCAGGTGTGGACAGCCCCCCCACTACGACGGCGGCAAGTGACCAGAGGAAATGCGGGGAGAGGGGGCTGAGCATTGAGGTGGGGCGTCCTGCGCAGCGCTGCAGCTGGGGGCGCTCTCTCCACCCTTCACAGTGACCCCAAGGAAGACCGGGGTGGGACCAGGAGCGAGCTTGGGGAAAGTTTGGGGGTTCCCGGGGCGCAGGGCAGAGCGCACAGGAGGGCGTCACTTACCGCGATGACTTCCAGCCGCTGCCGGTAGAGGGAGCTCTCCGCCATGGGCCTGTGGGGAGAGGGCAGCGGCTGCGGAGGGGGTTGGGGGGGCCCCAACCTTCAGCAGACCAACCTCTTTTTTTTTTTTTTTTGGTAGAGGCAGGGTCCCGCTATGTTGCCTAGGCTGGTCTCAAACTCCTGGCCTCAAGCGATCCTCCCGCCTCGGCCTCACCAAAGTGCTGGGCTTAAAGGCAGGAGCCGCCACACCAGGCCGGGGCAACCTCTTGAATTTGAGGTGCTTAGAAAGCGCCCCGAGCCCGGCGTTTTGCCTCTATTTCCGCTTTGCACCTGGGAGCAGTCTGGGCAGAGGGCGGTGAACAGGGGACCATGATTGGTTGAGCCTAAGATCTTGCTAGGTAAGACATTGCCTCTCCCAGCCTCAGTTTCCTCATCTGTAAAATGGGTAGGGATAGCTTGCCACGCCTCTCCCGCCTCAGAGGACCCTGGCAAGAAAGTATTCAAACAAGGAAAAGCTTAGTGCTCCAAAAACAATACCATAATTTATTATTATTAATTATGATTTAAATAATTCTCAGATCAATCACATTTATGATTAATTCTAATAGCCATTCCCAGTCCAACGTACCGAAACTCTCAAATCCAGCCAGGCCCCTAACATGCTGTGTGTCTGTTCCCAGTTCCACACCCTCTCTGACCTCTGCTTTTACCCAGGATCCCTTAAGCACTGGGGGGGGGGGAGGTGAGGGAATTGGAGGGGAGAGAAGTGGCCATCCCACCATTGCCATGGCAACTCCAGGGCTGCCTCCTCCACCTGCCAACCCCTCTTCCTGGGGGCAAGGGTCACTGGGTCACACTGCCTAGGGCTGGACTCTGAGCTGAGAGGAGGGGGAGACCGCTGTTTAAGGTTTAACCTGAGAGCCACTCACCTGCCTTAGCCCCGCCCCACTTTCCAGCCTGCAGAGTGGCCCCTGGCCCCATTTGGGGTCCCTGTAGAAGCCGGAGGCTGGCTACTATGACGTGCACAAGATGGTTGGGGGGCATCAACTGTCACGTCCACCTCATCGCAGGCATGCACTGAATACTCGTGCTGAGCCCGGGAGTTGGAGGTTGCAGTGAGCTGTGAGGAGGCCACTGCACTCCAGCCCAAGCGACAGAGTGAGACTCTGTCTCAAAAAAGAAAAAAAGGGTACCTCCAACTAGGTCGCTATATCGACTATGCTGCTCATATTGCCTGTGCAGCATAGTCAGTAACAGCGACATAGTTGCTAATATCCACAAGGCAGTATCTATCTACTGTCATCTCGGGGACACCTAGCCTCCCGTGGCCACATAGCAAGTCCTCAAACATTTATTAATTTTTTTTTTTTTTCTCGTTCTGTTGCCCGGGCTAGAGTGAGTGCTGTGGCATCAGCCTCGCTCACAGCAACCTCAATCTCCTGGGCTCAAGCAATCCTCCTGCCTCAGCCTCCCGAGTAGCTGGGACTACAGGCATGCGCCACCATGCCCGGCTCGTTTTTTCTATATATATTAGTTGGCCAATTAATTTTCTTTCTATTTATAGTAGAGACGGGGTCTCGCTCTTGCTCAGGCTGGTTTCGAACTCCAGACCTCGAGCGATCCGCCTGCCTCGGCCTCCCAGAGTGCTGGGATTACAGGTGTGAGCCATCTCGCCCGGCTATTAATTTGAACCCTAACCCTACTAGGAGAGCGTAGTCTCACAGTCCAGACCCCCTGTGGCTACCCCACGAAGGCGTAACAGCACTGACAATATACAGTGTTCTCAGCGCCCCACGGGCCTCCCCCGGCCCCTCCCGGCCCTGATGGTGACATGTGCTCCAGCTGACTCCTTGCTGAGTGGACATCACAGCGAAGAGCAAAATCAGCCAATCAGAAGCGCATCCCTCGTGCCAGGGGCTGTTGTAAACGCTTTGCCTGCAGTAGTAACTAATTTAATCCTCCCAAGGACCCTAGGAGGTAAGCAGTCTACTGTCCCCATTTTATGGATACGGAAACCGAGGCTCTGACAAGTGGCGAAAAAGATGCGTCCAAGGTTGTGAAGTCGGGGTCAGAACTTGAGGCTCCCGGATCCCAAATACTGGGAACGGAGTTGGGGGGGGGTCCAGGTCCAGGAACCCGCATCGGGGCAGCTAGGAAGGCACGGATCAGTCTGGGGGTGGGGCGGGGCTGGATTTGGGTTGGGACAAGGAACTGAAGTCACACTTCGCAGGGTACCCCAGAGGAAGCCCTGACTCCCCGCTTCTGGGCTTGCCCCTGGGGGAGGGCCGAAGTCCTCCCTCTCCTGTCCTACCCCCAAGATGTAATCTCTCTGCCTCTTCCTCGCTGGGGGGATCGGGTTCCCATTGCTAGGCAACCAGGTTTGCAGTTGGTGAATAATGCAATGGGGGACCCAGAAGGGTGAGAAACTGAATTGGGGTCCCTAGTAGGGGGGAGCCCCTTTTCCAGAACTCTTTACAAACCTCCGGGGCCCCGGTCACTTTCCAAAGCCCGCACACTTCAAATATTAAAATACTCCACACACCACATGCGATATTGTTTATCTCTGACTCTATAAGGACAACATAGGTGGCCATGGCTTGTGGCCACCAGGAGCCGGTTGGTGGCCATTTCGAGAAATAGGTCATCATTTCAGATTTCCTACTGTCTTTCTCAGTTTGGAAGACAGGTCGAACTTCTGTTGGACTGCATTTTCCTCCCACCCTGGACAGACACGGAAGGGGTGATTCTTAGAAGCAAAGCATGCAAGTGACAGACCCTGACATTCCCCAGCTCTAGCCCCACCCCCAGGCTGGACTTTGGGTTCTCAGGCTGCCAGCGGAAAATCCCCGGAGAAGAAGGTGGCCGGGGGAATCCACATGTCCCCCAACCCAGACCCCGTGGCTCTCTGGGGAAGGAGGGCATTGAGGACCTGTGGGGTTGGCTGCCTACCCCCTTTGCTCTCCCGGTCCCCTTAGGAGAGGCCGGCTGGGGCTCTTGGCCCCCAGGCAAGGCCGCCATCCCCTGTGACCCCCTCCCAGGCCCTGCCCAGCGGTCCCCCCTGACCCCAGACACTTACATGGGTGTGGCCGGAGACCACACCTGGCTCTGCAGAGCCATCTCTGCCCAGAAGCCCACTTTCTGGTCTCGGAGATCAGGACCCACCGCCCGCCTGCCTGAAGTGCCAAGGCTGTGACTTGGCTGGCCAGGGTGGGGGGGCTGCAGCGGGCACCGGGAGAGCTGGTCCAGCTGGTTTGGGCCGGGGAGGCGGGAGGGAGGCATGCAGCAGGCAGGCGGGAGGGGGCTGGGGGCTGGCGGGCAGTTGTGGGGAGGTACTATCAGCTGTCCTGATAAATTATTCACCAGCCACTGGCCTCCTCTCTGCACCGGCCGCCTCTCGGCAAACACGCTCTGTCACACTCTCGGTCAGGAATGCCGGCGAGAGTGGCCAGTTGGTGACTGACCGTCCCCCACCACCAAGAGAATGGCATCTCCATCTGGCACCCCCCGTCATGCTGAGTCTGACTGCCCTGCAAGAGTCACGCACACACGACAGCACCGTCGCATAGCGCACGTGCCAAACACGCTTACACGCCACCCCCTCCCTGATCGGACCCAGCTTCCAAGTGGGAAGGGCGGGAAGGGGGGTGGGTGATCCAGCCAGGGGATTCTGGAAACCACAGCCTGAGCACCAGGGAACCAGGAGGCTCGAGCCCTGGGGGGAAATGTGGGCAGCTTGCCTCAGTTTCCCCTGCTGGTATACAATCACGTGATAACCCCTGGATGCCCCTAGATGCTGTAAGAGCTACAGGTAGGGTGGTGACTAGAAAGATCTAAGAGAACCTCCTATCCAAATCTTGAGGGTCCCTGTTCTACACCCCAATCCTGTTCTTCAAGGGCCAGCACCCCCTTTCTCAGCTGACCTCACACTTCATTGAAACAAGGCCCTGGGGAAGTCGCCTTCTACTCTCCAGCAGGGCCAGAGGCCCCTCCGTGTCCTGCTGTCCTCAGCCCCGGTCACACCGTGCAATCACAACCTGAGCCACCACAAGAAAGGCCCTGTCCCCTGTGGGTCCCACACTTCAGAGGACATTCCGGAAGGGACCCTCCCTGCAGGGCAAAGGGAACGCGTCCAGCTATACCCTGCTCTTCTCTCTTCCAGATCCTCCTCCGCGTGGCCGGGGGCAGCTGTTGGCAGGGGATGTGGAAAGAGCTTGGACATTCGGCACCAGGCGCCCTGCTATGCTAGATGGACTTGGGGGGGAGGGAAAGGGGGCAGGTGGAGGGCGGGCGTCTTGTGCCCCAAATTCTAGTAAAAAACTCCTAGGGAGGGCCAGGTGCGGTGGCTCACGCCTGTAATCCCAGCACTCTGGGAGGCTGAGGCGGGCGGATTGCTGGAGGTCAGGAGTT